GGTTTGTCATGAAACGTTTTGTTATTGAACTGAATCCGATTTCCGCATTAATGGTTTATCATTAAAAGTCTGTTACGCTTACATGGTTTATCTGGCATGCTTCAAAGTTTTACCCAAGGGCTATCCATATTTACTTACTGAGTTTATCTCATAGTTTTCCTTGTTCACCATTTCAGGAAGTGAAAGCGAGGACAGGGAAATCAAGGGGAGTGACAAGTTAGAAGGCTAGCCATTTCGAGATTGAGCATAGATTTAGAAATAAATCATGATCTTGTATTTGGAGATTTTATTGGAGATTTATGATATCAAAGAGATTTTATAATTTGATCTTCAGATTTTGATGGTATTAGTTTGTAATTTGAATAAGTTTCGAGCCTTGTGCACTTGTGGGACTCGTCTCACGAGTGCACGGCGTCTGCCACGTCCCTGGATTTGGGTTCTGGGGTGTGACATATATTTAATTAATTTGAAAATTAGTATCATAACCCAATTTAAATTGGGGTTAAATGATAAAAGTAAAAGTCAGTGGACTATTTTCATAAAAGCATGAAACTTAAAGGGCTGAGGGGAAGAGATTGCAAAACTACATCGTTTTACTTGAAGGATAAAAAAATAAAAAAGGGGGCCTAGGTTCAGATGAACCCTAACCCCTCACTTTCACGATTCTTCTTCTTGCCGTGAGCCACTTTCCCAAAATTCATAAATTCTTTTGATTTATCTACAAATCCACTCGGAGTTTAGATAGATCATAATAACACAAGAAGAGATTTTTGAATTTGAAGCCCTTATCAAGAATCGTAGAAGAAGTTTTTGAAGTCGATTCAAATTGGGAGTCTTGATATTTTAAAGGTATGAATCTAGCCTTAAAAAAGGGAAGATGTGTAAAGAACTAGATTAGTTTTAGAATTCCAAATTCTAATAGGGCTAGATTATTATCTATAATTTTAGGGATTGGGATAAGAATTTAGAATTAGAAAAGGGTTTGAGTTCTCCCTATTTCTGTATAAAAAGGGAAGCTTCGACTTTGAGATGGGCATTGGGGGGAAAATTGAGGGAGAAGGGGAGAAAATTGGCGAAGCTCAGAAGGAATATTGGAGAGACCGAGAGGTAGAAAGAGAGCAGAGAAGAAGAGGAAGTACAACAACTTGTATTCGAAATTTCAAGGAATATAAAGTCTAATTTTTCTATATTTTTCAGGTGTTTTTTTTGTGTTTTTTTTTTTTCTGTCATATTCTTCCTTTTTCTTCCTTTCTTTGTAACAGGTAATTGCTTGGCTTCCCTTTTAAATTGTTTCTTTTCTGGTTTGTCTGCAATCGATCTAAAAAAGGGGTTTATTGGTTGTGTCCCTGCTGCAACATGATTTTACTTGCTTCTCCCACATTAGTTTTGTTTCCTGTGATGCAAAATTAATCACTGGCAGAATTTTCTTGTTTAGGAAAAGTTAACTTGATGTTATTCATGAGTTTTTTTTTTTAGGATATGTTATTATACAATAATAGGAAAAAGGATTTGGGAAAAGAAAATCTCTTAGGAAATATGAGGTGGGGTTTAGGCATTAGGAGGAAAAAACAGAAACGAAAATAAAGTTGAGGGAAAAAAAAAAGAAAAGAACAAAAGAAAAACAGAAGCAAAAAAATAAATAAATAAATAAAAACAGAAACGGAAAAAGGAAGAAAAAAAAAGGGGAACGAAGAATAAAAAAAAAAGATTGAGGAATTTTTTTTTTTTTGAAGTGATTTTTTTTTGAAGTTTTTTTTGTTTATTTTATTTGGTAATTATTATTTTATAAAAATTAAAAAATACCCTAAAATTAAAGTATGTGGTATTGTGGGGTGCCTAATACTTTCCTTACGCTTAACTGACCTTTCGAGCTTAGTTAATTCTACGAAGGTCTTGGTGATCTATCCCACCTCATTTGAATAGATGGCGACTCCATCCATTTTGGCACGTCAACAGTTTGGCGACTCCACTAGGGACATTGAGGGGTCAAGCCATTTATACTTTAATTTTAGGGGTTTTCCAATTACTAACTTTTGTTTTGTAGGTGGCATGGAGTATCTTGTAAGTTTTTTATTTTATTTTATTTTGTTACTTTATTTAATATTTTGTTATTTTCATGTGTTAACTTTGTGTATACTCCCTCACACACCTCACTTGCATATCATTTTTGTCCTTGACAAGGTGAACCCAACCTCTAGATAGATGGATATCTCATGGAGCAATGAAAAGCGCAATGCTTTCTTTGTGAAGTGAGATTTATCCCTTTTAGGTTCATTTTGTGGGTTAATATGGCCTGACAGCCATACTGCTGCTATTGTATTAGGTCATGAAATGCCTCTTGTTAACTCTATAGAAGTTGGCAATTATTGATTTTATGGAAGTCAATAATTGTTGACTTATGGAAGTTAGCAGTTGAAAAAGCCTAATTGTATAGGATCCATTAGGAAACTGCATGTAATAAATTTAGCAAAACTTAACCCTAGGATGGCCAGCCTAGTAAACCACCGTCAAAGTCTAGGAACCTTATACATAGGACACGTTGGGAGTATTTTATTTTTAAATAATGATTTTATGTTTCTTAGGTGAGGAATTTGATGAAGAGGTGTTGAAAGATTAGTCCTAAAAAGAATTATCCAAGAGTTCGTTCACCTATTCTCACTAGAGCTCTTGCAAGGAAGATGGCTAACGAAGCTAATTTAGAGAAGGTAGCTTTGGAAAATCGTGTGGAAAATATGGAAAATACTTTGAAGGAATTGATGGCTTCCTTCCAATCTCTTCAAGCAACCTTAGACACAAGGGCACCTTTGACAACAAATCCTTTATTTGAAGGGAAATGTTCCGATGGCAAATCTCCCTGTGGCCACATCTGTTTTAACTCTTGGGAAGGAGCCAATGTCATCTTGCCCACCAAATCCAACTATTGGTGGAACTTCTGGGACAAAGCCATTTGTTCTAAATGCTGGTGTTGCTACAGTTCAGTCTAATGATCAAGAGGAGACTCAAGTTGTCAACACAATCGCAGAGGATGAAGACAAGGTAATTAAAGCGAAGGTGCAGTTGATGGAGGAAACACTAAAATCGATGCAAGGTGTCCAAACCAATAAACTGGTTAACATCTCATCTTTGTGCTTTTTCCCAAACATTCAACTGCCCTATAAGTTTAAATTGCCTGAGTTTGATAACTATAATGGAATTGGTTATCCTTATGCCTACTTGACGATGTATTGTAGGATGATGGCTCCTTATGCCAATGACGAGAAGTTAATGATACATTACTTTCAAGACAATTTGACAGGTCATGCACATGCTTGGTTATCTACTTTAAGACAAAAGTAAAGTCAAAAGTTGGTATGATTTGACTTACAATTTTATGAAGCAGTATGAATACAATACATCACTAGCTCCTAGTAGAGAAGATCTTCAAAGAATAGAGAAGAAATCGAGTGAAAGCTTTAAGGAATTTGCTTAAAGATGGCGGGGATTGGCTGCTCGAGTTCAACCTCCATTGACTGATCATGAATTAAGTAATTTATTCATCAAGTCAACCAAAGGGCCTCATCGTGAGAAGTTAATAACTTGTGTGAATTACACTTTCGCTCAGCTGGTTATCGTGGGAGAGGAAGTGGAAGATGGAATCAAGTCAGGGATTATTATTGATTATCAAGCAATGAAGAGTATCCTTGAACAATACCAAAATGGTAGTTTAGGGGTTTTTAGTTCAAGGAAAGTTGGTCAAAATCGAAAGGAGGAGCATGGGAATGGCACTATAAGCTCAGTTTATGAGGCATATAATCAGTCACGGGGACAGTTCAACAATCAGTTCCAAGCTTCAGCTTATCAATCAACAGCTTTCACAAGTCAATCAAGGCCCGTTTATGCCTCTGGGACAAGTCGTCCACAACAAGAGAAAAAGAGACGCTATTTTGATAAACTTCCAATGTCATATACTGAAGTGTTTCGACAGTTGATAACAGCTAGGCTTGTTACCCTTGTACCTATGGTGCCATTAAATCCACCATTTCCAATATAGTATAACCCACAAGCAAGATGTGAATACCATAGTGGAGGTGTTGGGCGTGACCTTGAAAATTGTCTTGCGTTGAAGCACCGTGTCCAAGATCTGATAGATGCAAAAGAGTTACAAATTACATCAGAACCTGGGGTTGTTGGTCCGAATGTCACTAAAAACCATTTACCCACACATGATGGTCCAACAGTTAATATGATCAAGAAAGACTCCGATAAAGGTCATGAGGTGACTACATCAACAAATAATGATGGTTTGAGCACTTCTTTTGAGAAGTTGAGCATATGTGTCATTGATGAAGGAAAGGGTGATGACAAGCTTATCCTACCTACTCATGGTGAAGCTTTAGACAACAAGACAGTAGAAATTCTTCATGTTCCTATCATTAAATCGTAAGATGTGTCAATCTTCTTGTGGTTGAGCTTGTGACCATGAGAAAAGATGGTTAAAACAAGCCTTTTATATTTTATGAAGCATTGTAGGCATGACAAATAATGTTCCATTCAGTTCATTTCAATCAATAATGCTACTTTCATTTTCATTCCCTCTCTTCATATGCAAGATTGTTCATTTTCTTTTATTCAAATTTCTTATGCTAGCCAAAATTTCAATTTCCTGGTTTGTTGATAATAAATCCACAAATAGTGATATCATTCTTGAACTTACACAGAGTTTTGATGAACTGATTTATTCTATGAAAGATGATGAAGAATTAGAACCTTTTCCTAAATTGATTGACATGTTGAGAGAAGAAAAACCTAAATTGCAGCCTTATCAGAATGGCTACAACATAAAATAGGGAGGTCAGGCCTCGAAGGTTTCAAGAAAGAGATGTTGTTTTGAAGAAAAAGATGAAGGTTTGAAGAAAAAGATGTTTTGAAGAAAATTCTGCCCAATGAAAAGGATCCAAGGGGAAATTTTGCTCTAAACTACAACACTTTTTACATCATGAAGGCAGCTTTTTCAGGAGCAGCTTTATTATTAGTTTATCTTGATGGAGATGATCTTCCACATCCAGTGAATGCAGATGTGGTAAAAAAATACTGTGTTAAAAAAAAAAAGAGAGAAAAAGAGGCTAGGTTGAAAACCTAATGGGGTAGTCTAGGCAAAATAAAGAAAAAAGTGTTCATGATGAGGAAGTAAAGAATCCAATGACAAAAGGCTATTCTTCTTTATCCTTTGATCATGGAAATTATCCTTAGAAACCCTTTTTGAGCCAAAAGAAAAAGGTAATCGTCTAACTTATAAAAGCCTGACGATTTTCTTTCTAAATTGTCCTACATCAAGAGCTTGGGGTGAGAAGAGTGTTAGTGAGGGGATTCAATGGGAAAAGGGAATTTTGAGCCATTTGATCCTTTCTTTCTAATTAGCTGAGCCCTAAACCACGATACAAGCCAATGTAAAGTCCTTATCAAAGGATTTGTAGGTTGCTCATCTATGAACACACACATAAAAAAAAAAAAAAAAAAAAAAAAAAAAGAAGAAGAAGAAGAAGAAAAGAGAGAAGAAGTGGGGGCAAGGTTTAAGTTGAAAACCTAAAAGAGCAACTTAGGCTAATGACAACAAGAAGATCTATTGAAATGAGGTATTCAAGAAGGAAAACATAGCAATGATCCATGAAAAGGGAACTAAGACTGAGTCATTGACCTAATTGTAAAAAAGGATGTCTTTTCAATGAGTTGAGAAAGGGATGATATCATTATTGTGGAAGAATTGTTGAGCAAGCTTTTCTTGCCTTTTAGTTGTTATATGTTCAAAGCTTTCTTCATACCTAATTCATTGTTTCATTTCTCCTTAATAAATTTCGAAAATTCCTTTTCATTCTTCATTTCCATAGTTTCGTTGGAACATTAAATAGTCCAAAACTTGATGCTTCATTTAATATGATTGTTTCATTCAATACTATCTTTGATACACTACAGATTTGTGATAGTCA